TGCGGGATGGCACATTGCTGGCTCACGTTGAGCTTCTCATCAATCAGCACGCCCAGGTCCTTCTCCTCAGGGCTGCTCTCCAGCCGTTCCCCACCGAGCTTGTGTTTGTGCTTGGGATTGCCCCAACCCAGATGTAGGACCCTGCACTTGGCCTGGTTGAACTTCATAAGGTTCACATGGGCCCACCTCTCCAGCCTGTCCCGGTCCCTCTGGATGGCATCCCTCCCCTCCAGCGTGTCTACCTCACCAAACAGCTTGGTGTCGTCAGCAAACTTGCTGAGGGTACACTCAACCCCACTGTCCATGTCTCTGACAAAGATGTTGAACAGCACAGGTCCCAGTACCGACCCCTGAGGAACACCACTCGTCACTGGTCTCCACTTGGACATGGAGCCATTGACCACACTCTTTGAGCGCGACCGTCCAGCCAGTTCTTTATCCACCGAGTGGTCCATCTGTCAAATCCATGTCTCTCCAATTTAGAGATCAGGATATTGTGTAGGACAGAGTTCCCATGTTGGATAAAACTCTTGGAAGTATCCTGTGGATCAACGCGCTGCGAGACCTACAGCTGGGCCATCTGTGGGGCTTTGAGACCGGGATAAACTCATGACAGCGTTGCCCGAGATGTGCAGAAGAGGGAGGCGCAGGGCATCATCACTGCGGGGAGCCAGGCTGCCTGCCCAAAGCCAAGGGGAACTTGGGTGCATCCAGGGTTTTCAGCCCTGACCTTCGGGGCCCCATGTGTTTTGGAAGAGGGACCAAGGCTGCTCGATAGGGCCGTGTCACCTGGTTTTTTTCCCGTCCCTCCTTCCCCGTCCCCTTTAAAGCCGCCAGCGGCGCAGCCACCGCCGCAGACGAAGCGTCGCCGTGATCCAGGATGATGCTGCAGCTCGTGCTCCTCGCCGCCCTCGCCCTCTGCGGTGCGTCCTCCACGGGAAGCCATCGGCCTCGTTAGCTGGTGACGACCCTCCCGGGGTGAGTTAGCGATTCACTTTCCCCTCTCTCCATCCTCTCTCCCGCAGGTCGCTGCTCTGAGCAGGAACTCGATGGAGTTCAGCGGGTGGTCGGTGGGACCGAGGCGCGCTCGCACGCCTGGCCCTCCCAGGTGGGTCCTTCCCGGGGGCAGCCGGTAAATCCCACGGGGGTCTCATCCCCCCGGGACCATGCGGTGAGATGTCCCCGTGTCTCACTTTCCGCCCTCCCCAGATCTCCCTCCAGTATTACTCCAGTGGCAGCTGGCATCACACCTGCGGAGGGTCCCTCATCCGCAGAAACTGGGTGATGACGGCAGCCCACTGCGTGGATCGGTGAGCAGCCGCGGTGATCCCCACCTCCCCTCTGTGGAAAAGCCTTTTTCCATCAAAATCCTTTCCAAGGAGAAATTTTGGCTGCCCCAACCCAGAGAGCAAAGGTCCTTTGAGGTCTTTGCCTGTCCTCCATCGAGGGGTTACACAGCCCATCTCTGGGAGCATCTCCTTGCGCTGATCCTTTCCGTATCAACTCACTCGGGAAATAATCATAATTCTGGGCTTGATCCTGTGTTTTTTTCACCTTCCCGGCAGTAACATGAACTTCCGCGTCGTGGCCGGTGAACACAACCTCAACATGAACGACGGCAGCGAGCAGATCTTGGGCGTGAGCCAGATCATCATCCATCCCTACTGGAACAGCAACAACGTCGCCGGGGGGTACTGCATGAGGGGAGAGGGATTTGGGGGGAGCATCACTGGGAACGGGGACGTTTCTTGCAACAACCTCTCCCTCCTTTTGCCAGTTACGACATCGCCCTGCTCCGCCTGTCCAACTACGCCACCCTGAACTCCTACGTGCAGCTGGCGGTCCTGCCCCGGGAGGGAACCGTCCTGCCCAACAACTACCCCTGCTACATCACGGGCTGGGGTCTCACCCGCAGTGAGTGTCGCCGGCTCGCCCCGGCCCTAAATCACCCCAAAACCGTGGGAAAAGTGGGGAGCAGAATGATATTTTTAAGCCCTTTGAGATCCCAGGAGGCATCATGGGGGGCTTTGCTCAGGGCATGGAGTTGCCCAAGGTAGGGTGGGGTCGTGCTGAGCTTTTGGGGGGATTTTACGTGGGCAAAGGGCCTCGGGGGTGGCTGTGGGTCTCGCAGGTCTTCGCCGGTGCAGCGTTAACCGGCGCTCGGTTGCGTGCAGCCAACGGGCAGCTCTCCAGCGTCCTGCTGCAGGCGTACCTCCCCGTGGTGGACTACCAGATCTGCTCCAGCTCCTCCTACTGGGGCTCCACCGTGAAGCCCACCATGGTCTGTGCTGGCGGTGACGGCATCCGCTCCGGCTGCCAGGTATGGCCCCGGCATCCCGTTTTCCCCCTGGCATCCCACCGGCATCCCCATTCCTCCCATCTCATACGGGTTCCTCGGTCCGGCAGGGCGATTCGGGCGGTCCCCTCCACTGCGCGGTGAACGGGCAGTACCAGGTCCACGGCGTCACCAGCTTCGTCTCCGGTTTGGGCTGCAACGTCCAGGGCAAACCCACCGTCTTCACCCGCGTCTCTGCCTACGTCTCCTGGATCGAGAGCGTAAGGCGACAGCGGGGTTCGGGCAGCCGGGGGCTGAGACCTGGCGCAATCATTGCACCGATGCACCAGCTCTGTCCCTTCTCGGCTCAACCGTTGCCTTTCTTCTCCTTCCAGATGATCGCCCAGAACTGAGTGGTGACAGAAGAGCCCCGTCCCCGGCTCGGGCGATGGACATCATCTTGCCCCACGTTTCCATCGGGGGGGTTTAAAACCCGTAGCCGGCATCAATAAAATCTGTTCCTCAATCCAGTGTGCTGGTGGATGTTTTCTCCTCCAACTCTCTGCGTCCTTTTCCCCTCCCGTATTCCAGAGCATCCCTTCAGCCGCGTCCCTCCTCTTCCTCGCGCCTTAAGAAAGAGCCGCGGGGGAAAAGCATCCGGCCTCGTGCTCTCGGGGCAGCCGGAAGGTCGTTGGGATAATGGGAAAGGGGAAAATGCTGCCAATCCCCTGCGCGGGCAGCGACGCAGCCCTTGGAGGCACTGGGGGCATACGGCGGGTTCCGGTTGGGATTTTTTCCTGCCGTTAGCTCCATTTCTCTTCCAAAACTGACCTTTAAACGAGAGACTTCGGACTCGGTGGCTGTCACCGCTTCGCCCCACGGCTGCATCCCAGAGGAGCCGGCCGTGCCGCAACCCCACCCGGCAAAACACACCAGCACCGAAATTGTACCAAAAGGCAAATTTAAACCCAAGAACCAGATGCCGGTGGAAGAACTAAAAGGCGGGAGCAGGTTCTCCATCACCCGTTTGGTCCACCCATGTCTCTGGGTGCACTTTCCGGAGGGAGGGGGGGGAGCGTGGCGGGGGGTGCCCGGGTGCTCGGCGGATGCCGGCAGCTGCCTCGCCTCGAACTTCCTCCGTAGCAAACATCAAACCGCAGCGCGCGGCCCCGAGCAGGAACCGAGCTGCAGCCATGGCAGAGGGCAAGACCGGGGGAGCCGGCCTC